TGTGTGCGCGCCGGTGTCGCGTTCCGGGCGCGCGGCGGGTACGCGGATTGGGCTAGGGTGGCCAGGAGCCATCCGATCGGGCGTGGGGTGGGGTGTGCGTTGGGGGGTGTATTTTCCTGGGGACGGGTGTGAGCGGCTAAGAGGCCCGGGTATGTGTATCCGCGCGTCCACGTGGAGGGTTGTGCGCGTGTGGCCGAGATGCGTGTGCGCGGCCCTGCCTGGAGCTCTGCGCGCCCGGGTGGCCCGGCGTCTGGCGCGCAGGTGTCCTAGCGGGGGTCTGTGTGTGTGTGTGTGTGTGTGTGCGCGCGCGCTGGGGGCAGCGTACAGGGGCACACGCTCCCTGGTGTCGAGCGGCTCTGCGTGTGTACACACATGTGGACGTGTGCACACCTGTCTCTAGCTGGACGTGTGCCTTGTGGGTACTTGTGTCCCAGCCCCATGTGTTTCTGTCTGTGCTCATGTGTACATGGATCAGTATGCGCTAGAGTACACGTGGGCGGGAGGATTATGGGGGACGCATGGGGGGCGCTGAGACTCAGCCCCCAACCCTCTTCACTGCCCAGCCACCCGCAGTGGGGAGATGGGGGAGGCAGGGAGGGTTCCCCACCCCAGCAGCAGTGAGGGACCTTGTGTGTCTGTCCTGGGTTGGGGTGGGATTGGGGGCTCAGAGCCTCGGCAGGACCAGAGGAGCCTAGAAGGGCTGCACCGCCCCCGCCCTGACCCCTGTGCCACCCAAGGGACAGAGATTCTTGGGAATGACCTTGAGTCATCTGCTGTTTCTTTGTCCTGCTGCCCACTTACCACAAAAGGGGAAGAACCAGGCCCAGTCAGGTGGCACCAAGCTCCCTACCTACCGTGCCACCTCCCAGGCCCCAACCAGGCGAGTCTGCCTGCCCCAGCCTCTGGCTACTTGCTCTGCCCCTCCCCTATGCCTCAGTTTCCTGTTGGGGGCCATGGTGTAGTGAGGCTCTTGAGTTTCCTCGCTGGCATTTCATGGTTGTGACTCTGCTCAGGAACTTCCCTGGGGAAAGATCACTTCCCAGTGGAGCCTGGGGATCCAGCGTCTGGGCCCCACCCTGTGGATCCCTTTGGGGGAGCTCTCTCTGGCCCCCTCCCTGGCTGTCACCCCCATTTGGCCTGGGCTGGTGACAGTTCCTTCTACTGAACCCTGGGACCCCAGCCTGACTTGAATCTGGGCTCTGGAGCTCGACTCTGTCACCTCCCCAGGTGAGCCCTCGCTTCTTCTGAGCACGGCACCCCCCTCCCATCTCAGCCAGGATGCCAGTGGTGAGTCGCCCGAGCCCAGGTGCCTCTGTCCCCAGCCCATCCTCAGCTCAGTCCCTTTCCTGGGGGTTGTCTTCTTTGACTGAGGTCCTCTTCTGCTGAGCTCTGCCCAGTCTTTCCTGGTCACCTTGTCTTCTTCACCTCCTGTCCTGGGCCCCCTCTGCTTGTGACCTGGCCATTCTCTCCTCCTCTTCATCTTTCTCCTGCACCTGCTTCTGTCTTTTCTATGTCTGGTCTTCCGGTCCCTCTGTGGCTTGCGGTCTTTTTCCCAACCTCTGTTTCTTTCTGCCCCTGTCCTCTCTCTCCTCCTGCGCCTCTGCTCCTTGCATCTCCTTGATGTCGCCCCTCTGTCCCTGTCTCGCCCCCCTCCCTAGAGGCGCTGGGCCCCTGGCAGCCAGTGCGTCACCAAGTGTGAGCACACCCGCCCCAAGCCAGGGGAGCTGGCCTTCCGCAAGGGTGATGTGGTCACCATCCTGGAAGCCTGCGAGGTGAGCGGTGTGGCCGGAGGGGCGTGTGTTTGTGTGTGCACTTGGGGGTGAGGGCTCCTCCGGGACCCCCCGCCGACCCCTCGCTCCCTCCCCAGCAGAACAAGAGCTGGTACCGTGTCAAGCACCACGCCAGCGGGCAGGAGGGGCTGCTGGCGGCCGGCGCGCTGCGGGAGCGTGAGGCCCTCTCNTGGGGCAGGGCCCCCCGGGGTAGGGGGATCAGGAGGTGCCCAGCCAGCCCAGCCCAACATGCCCCCTTCCCCCGGCCGCAGGTGGTTCCACGGGAAGATCTCAGGCCAGGAGGCCGTGCAGCAGCTGCAGCCGCCAGAGGATGGGCTGTTCCTGGTGCGCGAGTCAGTGCGACATCCAGGCGACTACGTGCTGTGTGTGAGCTTCGGCCGCGATGTCATCCACTACCGCGTGCTGCACCGCGATGGCCACCTCACCATCGATGAGGTCGTCTGCTTCTGCAACCTCATGGACATGGTGGAGGTGCCGCTGCTTCCCCCAGGCCCCATCCTGTCCCTGCAGCTGGGCAGCACGGGGACCCCAGAGAGGCCTGCTCCCCAGTGCAGAGATGGAGGGGCTGGTCCCTGTGTCCCCCAAGGCTCCCATCCCATTCCTGGAAGCTGGGCAGACACAGGCCCCCATAGTAGAATTCTCCCCAATGCAGAGATGGAGGGGCTGATCCTCATAGAGCCCCGACCCCACAGGTGGCTCGAGTCATCCTCATTCTACCTCAGGGACTGGGGTGACTCATCTGGGGACACCCAGGAGCCTCCAAGTTGATGCCAATCCAGAGTAGCCCCCACCATGATTCTCTCGTTTCCTCTTAGCCTGTATCCTTTCTTGTTCCCATGGAAACCAGTCCACCGTGGAGTGGGGACCAACCCCCCCCCCGGCTTCTGCCCACCCTGCCCAGTGGGACCCAGAAGGGGATGGGATGCAGGAGTTCCTGCACCCTGCGGTCCAGCTCACGGCTGCCTCTGCCTGCCCTCCCCTGCCTGCAGCATTACAGCAGGGACAAGGGGGCCATCTGCACGAAGCTCATGAAGCCCAAGAGGAAGCAGGGCACCAAGTCTGCGGAGGAGGAGCTGGCCAAGGGTAGGGCCAGACCGCAGGGGGGCAGACCCCATCCCTGCCCAGCCTCGGGAGGCAGAGCCTGAGGCCCTATCTGAGGCTGGATCACCTGAGCATGTCCCTGTGCCTGGCTCTGCGGGGCTCAAAAGAAGGCCTGAGCTTCCTTAGGTCTGGCAGGGGTCACCCACAGACACAGATTAGCCCTGTGTTGAATAGATTCCCACACCTGCTTCTTGTGCCACATGGCCATCCTCTTCCATGTCACCTGAGCCAGAAACACGGACCCACCCCACCCTCCCAAATCCCCTCCATGGCCAGGTTCCTAACACCAGTTAAATCTGGTCCTCCCCCCCAGCCCTGCAGCCCCTGTCCCAGCCCAGCTTCAGGCCTTCCCATCAGACTACTTTCTGTGGAGGGCCGGCCCATGGCTCACTTGGGAGAGTGCGGTGCTGATAACACCAAGGCCACGGGTTCGGATCCCTATATACGGACGGCCGGTTAGCGCACTTGGGAGAGCGTGGTGCTGACAACACCAAGTCAAGGGTTAAGATCCCCTTACCGGTCATCTTAAAAAAAAAAAAAAGACTGCCTTCTGTGGAAGGAGTCCCCCTTCCAGCCTGGCCTTTGCACAGGTCCCTGAGACATCTTTCTATTATGAAATCCATCCATGTCACTCCCCTGTTTAAAACTCTTCTGTGGCTCCCAGGAGGGAGGCCCGGCAGCTCTACTGTCTTCTGGAACCTGCACACATTTTGCCTGAGCCACCTTTCCAGCTTCATCTGCAAAGTCCTTCATCCACATGTAGCCCCTGCATCAGTCGTGTTAGTCTTTGTTTCCTTCCTGCCTCTGAGCCATTGTGCATTCTCTTCTCTTCACCTGAAATACTTTTCCAGCCCCTGAGGAGTGAAATCCTTAATATTCAAAACCAAAAACAAATGCCTCCCTTCACACCCCATGGCCACCCCTACAGTCTTTTTGAAGCTGATTATCATGTCTGTCTCTCTGGATGTCTCCAGAGTGGCATCTGAGTGGAGACATGTCATCCTGACTAATCATAGAGCGGAGTGGAGGGGAGAACGCAGCAGTGCTTGAGAGAAGGGGTCCAGGAGGCCAGAGCCCTGAAAGATTCTGGAACCTTTGCCAGTCTCTATGTTTGTTGTATTTTTTGCTCTGGGTCTGTTCCTGGGTGGTCAGAGGTAAGGACTGTAAAGGGAAGAGCCTCTGCAGGGTATTTGGAAGGACACAAGGTCCTCAGGTAGTGGAAGAAAAAGGGCAGCCCCCATCTCTGAAACCTGAAGGGTTTCCAGGCACTGCCCCCAGGCTCAATGGGGAGTTTCTGGAGGGCTAGGCTGGGGTCTGAGGGTCTGAGCCATGACCCCAGCTTTAAACATTTGCACTTTATCCCTCCTGTACACTTCTTTTGCTCAGGTCAGCGTGAGATAGTTCTGGTGCTTACAACAATAATTAGTACCAGGAGTGGGGTGTCTCAGACAGGCCCTGGGGCATTGCTGAGAACAGCATCCCCCCCAGCGAATGTGTGTCCTTGGCTGGGGTGCTGTGGGGGGACATCACCTGGCCTCTCACCAGGGGGAACGTGATGGGAGGCACTGGGAGAGGTTGTCCCCCTTCCAACTGGGTCTTTGCCCTATAGCTGGCTGGTTACTGAACCTGCAACATTTGACGCTGGGAGCACAGATCGGAGAGGGGGAGTTTGGAGGTGAGTGAGCCAGGGGGCCGAAGGAAGGTGGGGGTGCGGATTGAGACTTTGGAGTCACAGAGCTGAATTCAAATCCACTCTTAACTACCTACATAGCTGTGTGAGTGAGGACAAGCCACTCCTGTCTCTAAGCCTCAGTTTCCCCCTCTGTAAGGGGGGATAATGGCAGCTGCCATGAGAAGTGAATTGACTGAAACAGGCACCCAGTACATGTTAGTGATTCCCTCACACTTCCAGGCTCTTACACTGTTGGTCCCTCTGCTTGGAATGCCATTCCTGAAATCATTATTCTGGAAGGTTCTGGGGCTTAGGTCAGGAGTCAGCAAGTCTCTGTAAAGGGGCAGAGTGTAAATATTTCAGCTTTGTTGGCCAGATGGTCTCTGTCACAACTACTCAACCCTGCCCTTGTAGCAGGAAAGCAGCCCCAGACAATCTGTAAGTGAATGGACGTGACCATTACAACTTCATCTTGTTTTTATTTTGGAATCATTTAAAAATGTAAAAAAAAACATCCCGAGCCCCAGGGCCTTGCAAAGACAGCTGAAGGGACTGGATCTGGTCCCCGGTGGGAGTTTGCAGACCCCTGGCTTAGATGACTCTCTTTGATCGGGGGGTCTGGAGCCCGCAGGGACAAGGGGGTGTTTCAAGGTCTGGGAAGCTGCAGCTGTTAGTGTACATGGGGAGCACTGCGAGGGAGCCTGTCCATCTGTTTCCATTTGTGTCGGGGTCCTGATCTCCATCCCCACCCCACCCAAAGCCGTCCTGCAGGGTGAGTACCTGGGGCAGAAAGTGGCCGTGAAAAACATCAAGTGTGACGTGACCGCCCAGGCCTTCCTGGATGAGACCGCCGTCATGACGTGAGTTCCCAGGGTCGAGGTTGGGGGTCCTGGGGTCAGGGGTCCCAGCCCCACCCTCATCCCCTATGCCGGCCCCCAGGAAGATGAAACATAAGAACCTGGTGCGCCTCCTGGGTGTAATCCTGCACCAGGGACTGTACATCGTCATGGAGCACGTGAGCAAGGTGGGGGCGGGGCCAGGAGGTGGGGGATGGGGCTGGGGGCAGCCGACCAGCCTTGAGTCCCTGGGCTGTCTCCCACACCCCCAACAGGGCAACCTGGTGAACTTTCTACGGACGCGGGGTCGGGCCCTTGTGAACACTGCCCAGCTCCTACAGTTTTCTCTGTGAGTGGGGCTCCCGGGGTTCCAAGATAAGGGGGAAACTGAGGCACAGGGCAGGGAGGAGCCTGGCCTGGCTAGTTTGGCCCAGGCATGTGTGCCCCCCACCCCCTCCCCAGGCATGTGGCCGAGGGCATGGAGTATCTGGAAAGCAAGAAGCTGGTGCACCGCGACCTCGCCGCCCGCAACATCCTCGTTTCCGAGGACCTGGTGGCCAAGGTCAGCGACTTCGGCCTGGCCAAAGCCGAGCAGAAGGGGCTGGATGCAAGCCGGCTGCCGGTCAAGTGGACAGCGCCCGAGGCTCTCAAACACGGGGTGAGCCCCCACCACCTCTGGGGCTGTGGGGTCTGATGGAGCAGGATTGGTGCCCTATCTCCGCCGTGTGACCCTGGGCATGTCATTTCTCTAAACCTCAAAGGAAATGGCTCCGCCTCACCAGGAATCACTTGGCCCATAATTGTTACTTTTAACCCCTCTCTGGGTCTCAGTTTCCCCATCTATAGAATAGGCTTGGGCTCAGCACTGACTGGCCTCCTACCTGCACAACTCTGGGGGGTTCCAGGGGAGGAGTCCATTGAGAGGAAACCAGAGACAGAGGGTCAACGCAGGAGGGCTTCCTGGAGGAAGCAAGAGCCTGCGGGGGCCCCTCCTCACCCTGATCTCGGGCCCCACAGAAGTTCTCCAGCAAGTCGGATGTCTGGAGTTTCGGGGTGCTGCTGTGGGAGGTCTTCTCATATGGACGGGCTCCGTACCCTAAGATGGTGAGTGGGGTCCCCCAGGGAAGCACTTGGTCTGGTGAGGTTCTGGGGGCTGTGGCCCTGACCCTGGCCCATGCCCACGTGCCCTCTGTCTGCAGTCGCTGAAGGAGGTGTCAGAGGCTGTGGAGAAGGGGTACCGCATGGAGGCCCCCGAGGGCTGCCCGGGCGCCGTCCACGCCCTCATGGGCAGCTGTTGGGAGGCGGAGCCCGCCCGCCGGCCGCCCTTCCGCAAACTGGCCGAGAAGCTGGCTCGGGAGCTGCGCAGCGCAGGCACCTTGGCCCCCATCGGGGGGCAGGACATCGATGGCTCCACTTCGCCCCAGAACCAGGACCCTTGACCCTGCCCAGTGGGGCTGAGGGTCCCTGAGGACCAAGAGAGTGGGGGGCATAGGTTGGGGGCGTGGGTCATGCCCGAGGAGGATCACATGACCAGCGAGCTGCCCTCCTGGCTCCCAGGGCAGAGGCAGGCCCACGTGGGGGGCTCTGGGCAGCCTGTGGACACCACAGACTTGGGAAGGTGCAGGGTTATCGCCTTGATAAAGATAGTTCCGAGGACTGTGGGTGTCTGTCTCTCCACGACCCCGGTGTTCTCACACCTACTCATCACCTGCTTTGGAGCCACCCTTCGCGATCCATGCTCTGGTACCCCCACAGCGTGCACGTCCTGGGGTCCCTCTGTGGAGGTCCACACCTGGAAGCCCCTATGTCTCCCCTGAGGTCACTTACCCCCTCCATTGAACCCACTGTGACCCACCAGATGGTGACCGAGTAATTGGGACCCCACTGATTGTTGGCTGAGTATTGGGGAACCACCAGCCCCAAGCCCCCCATCTCTTGCTACCTGGTGGAGACACAGAAGGGTCCCCCATCACAGTCCACTGAGGGCCCACCCTGCAGGGACCTGCCACTAGCCACTGT